ATGTGTATGTATATTTAATATCAGTATTTATACAATTAGAAAACAGTTCTGTACGCGTAAAAATGTCGATGTCTCCGATTATCGTTATCGTAGTATTCTTTCTGTATAACTATTGTACACTTGTTTTTAGGTTGACTTGATATTTCTTTTATTTTTCCATTTTCGTGCATATTTTGTAATCCTTACCTAATGATCATGTACACAGGGTCCCGGTACGGTTTTTCTGACCTTGGGACCCTCTTTTGCATATCCTTAATGATGTAACCATACTATGCAAAAATAAAGATTGATTGATTGATTGATTGAATAGCCGATTCTTCCATTATATAATCGTGCCAATGTGAGCCAGTCCAAGAACACTAGTATCATTCGCATTTTAATACGTAACTGTACAGTACTTAATTTTACAAGTTACCTGCACTGAATACCTTCTCAATGCGCATACCGTCATGTATGCTCAGTGGCATTGTGCTTTTGTGCAATACAGATAAAAAATGTATATGTTGTTGCGCGTCGTACTGTATTCCTTTTAATAAACTAATCGAATGAGTACCATGGTAGATCTGCAGAAATACATATGTGTTGATGCATACCTAAGCATAGAACTTGACATTCATATATACTGGTCGTTGCATGTAGATAATGGAACATTATCAACTTGGAGCAGCACCTTTTTATTTGCCTGCGCGAGCAAGCTGAAAGGGTAAAGTAAGTTTCACATCTACGGAACGAAAGCTTTAATGATTCGGCCGCAGCGCGCTTTTTATTGCGTTTATTGCTCAGCATACCTTTTCTACCATTTCTCACTGCAATAGAGCCCGATGCCTCTGAATATGCTTGATATGCACTCAATTTATACTTACACATACAAAAGCAGTTAGTTGTGCATGGTGCACAGTGTATTTTGCACTCTTTGTGAAATTTCAGTCATTGTTCCTTGTGTACTTATTTTAGGTTTCCGGGATCGAATTTCCTGTACAGAAAGAACAGCTTCACCCCACTTCTCTCTAAGACACCAGTCATCTCAGCAGCTGAAGATAATTGTGCAAACAGCAGTGACGAGTGGTTTTGCAGTTAGAAGTATACGAACACTGACATTACATTAATACAACCCCAATCACACTACCTTGTTGAATGTTCTCTTTTTTAATGTCGAAATATATACTGCGAGATGCAATAGGTTGTAAATGTCACTCCAGAAACTCGCTTACTTTTTCTACGCGTTTTTTTCTATTGTATAGGTGTCAATCAAACGCCATACGTCTCAGTCGTTTGCCTGACTAGCGCAAATGTTTTAGAAGCAAAGCAACTTATAGCGGCACCCATTCGTCCCGCGTCCCGTCTTAGTATGTAAACAGTCTTACGCTTTGACCTGCAAGGTGGTGCCAAGTATATCATTTTGACCTCCAAGGTGGTGCCGGTAACAGATTTCTTCTGTGCGTTGTTTAACAATAAAAAATAGTGCTCAATGTACATGCCAATGGCTGCTAATGGAGAATTAGAGACAGGAGCATTTGGCTTTTAGTCAACGCGCACGCTGCGATCCCCATTAACAGCCATTGGCATGTACATTGAGCACTATCGGACAAGAAAGGGTTGCTACACTATACTCACTGGGTGTAACCTCCTTAGTTTTAGAAAGGTTTAGCGAACGTTGAGCCGCAGGGCCATGAATACAATGAATTAGTATATACCATGAATGAATTTGAGGTGGTTAAAGGGGGGAAGCAGATACGAAGCGCAAGCCGTAAGAAATTAAAAGCTGAATCCTCCTGTCTCTCATTTTACATTAGCAGCCACTGGCATGTACATTGAGCACTATCTGACAGGAAAAGGTTGCTACGTTTTACTCGCTGGGCGTAACCTCCTTGGTTTTAGAAAAGTTTAGCGAGCATTGGGCCGCAGTGCCATGAGTACAGTGAACTAGTATATACCATGAACTCAAGGTGGTTGAAGGTGGGAAGTAGACCCGAAGCGCAAGCCGTAAGAAAGTGTGTGTGTACCACCTCTCGTTTAGTCCTTGGAATGTGCACTGAATGGCGGTGCTTCTATATGGGGAATATATGATAAACAGATGCGAGATGGTGGGACTTGGAGTGTTGAATAGATGGACGAACGGACACACAGACAGATGCATGGATGCACGCATAAACGGACGCAGGTGCGGATGCATGAACGAAGGCAGAGACGGGCGCACGAACAGACGCATGGACGGTCACACAGACGGACGCATGGACGGACGAATGCTTCGCCCCACTCTCCATCATTCACTCCGTGGATATGCTGCAAACTTTTTTGAATGTTGTGGAGATTTATTGTATTGAAAACAATGAATATTCAGTATAGAGAGCAAGGAACTTGGTCCCGTGATATATTTCAAAATTTCGCAGAATGCCATCAGAGTCCTGTTTTTCAGATTTGCAGTTTTTCTATAATAAAGGCAGATGTTAACTAATGGGCTTAAAATTATTTTTTGCTTCGGCGTTATGTTCGGTTGGACATTACGCTACAGGTTACTGCTTGCACTAGTGTGTGTGTGTGTGTGTGTGTATGTGTGTGTATGTGTGTGTGTGTGTGTGTGTGTGTGTATGTGTGTGTGTGTGTGTGTAAGTGCCTTCCCCTTCTTTGTCGTTTACGGCCCTGTCTAACTACACATATATACCCTGGTCTCAGGCATCTCATTCAAGACCATGCCACCTTATTTTATCAGCTGCATTCATGCAGGTACAAGTGCAGTGGGTGAGACCAGTATCTTCCATCTTCCCTGCCAGCCGCAGAGAAGGTTCATGTATGCTTCTCCCTGAGAACAATTGAGGCTTGGGCCAGTTGGTGATGCATATTTGAAGGAATGAAGTGCTGTGAACGGCTCTCTTCAACACACAAGTCTAAGCTAACTCCCTGTGTCTCTACTTTTGTTGCCCGTTAATTGCGCTTCATTTCATCAAGTATGCTCATCCATATAATTGCCATCGTTTCAAGGGGGTTTTCAGTGTACACCCCATTCGAATGGTTGTAGCTTCATCCAACACCCATAGTTTAGGGGTGTTCATAAACACCTATTAAAATACGGTGTAACTTTTCTTTGCACCCTACGGTTTCAGGGTGTTTCTAAACACCTTATTGTGTAGGGTGTTCCCAGACACCCTACGAGGGTGTTGCCCATGGGACGGAACAAATACACCCTTCAAGGTGTAAAACTTTTTAGGGTGTAGCGTTGCTTTTCTTGCGTAACAACATCCTCGTCAATAAAAGCTTCTCGCCACATCACGCCAACTACCTCATCGTAGTACCTTCGGTGTTACGTCCAGAAGTTTCATATTCACACGAGTTTTGCAACTCGTATGATTGAATAGCTTTGTCGTATCTGTGGGTGCGAACAGGAACTGCCCTTTACTTCACCGCTCCTTGTTGAGGCCTGGTTTAGACAAATCGACAAGCTGCGTGCTGCGTCACGTCGCCAATCGCCTTGTTGTGGTCACTGCGCGCGGAAGGAGCATCGGTCAGGCGTAGGAAAAGAGCGCGAAAATTGTTGTTTGAATTGGAGACTGCGCGGCGCGCAACTCTGTTATATTCAGAAAACGTGATTGCTGCGGTCTATTCTATGAGTTGCCAAGCTTGTTTGGGTGATCTAAAAAACAAGAAGTTCAAGCCTGTTGACTGGCTGTTTAAGATTGCGTAAGGTGCGAATACTCGTAATTATTCTATAGCTTTCGCGATGTCCAGTGCTAAGGCTTAAATATTCGACGGCACAAGTATCAATGCCGAGCGCTTCGCCGTTTGTCAGTTGGCCGACGCTCTGTTCCCTGCTATCACCACCAGTTCCCTGCAGTAACCTGACTTTTGATTCACGTGGTCACAATATTGGTTACAATTTCATCTGAACATGCGGTCTGCTCTCTTCGTCCGCGTCACGACCCCGTGACAGTATAATGTAAATTGAGTAACATAACGTGCCATCAAAAGGCCTAAATAGTCGATGACAAAGGTAGGTCCTCATATTCATAACGTGTGCGGTGATGTCCCTGACTAGTGTGAAGTGTTTGTGCTTCTAGATACTTCGTATTGTTCTGTCACAGCTATTAGTATTATTACACTCTTAAAAAACATTGTTTTTTGCGTCTCCCAACCACACATCTCCCCGTGACACCAAACCACGTAGAAGTGGACAGACAAGCCTCGACTCTAGGCTACACGGGCCTCCCTAAAAAAGGCCACGTACATTCGATGCTTGTCTGTTCGCAAGTGAATGTGCTGCTAACCACCGGCGGTGCGGAATTCTTTATCAGGGGAAGCCATGGTGATAAAGTCCCCGTGCGCAGCACAATAATAACGTGTTTAAATGACTTGGTCTGCCATCTCCAAAGGACTTTTTTTCTATTTCTTTTTTGTGTATATTTCATCTTCGTCTGAAGGTGCGATTGCTCTTCTCTTCCTTTACGTCATATCTAGTAGTGCTCCATTCGTAAAGTTAGTCAAGCTCCCTTTTTCGACAGGTGGTCGTTTCCAGCCCTGCTTTCTCCCATCTTCCTCGTCGTACTATGCATGTGCCTTCCTGTGCTAACATGTATTGTAATAATAATAATAATAATTATAATAATAATAATAATATCACCACGTGCTGCAAAAGGTCTCCAACTACGAAGAACTTAGCCGGCGGAAAGGCGCAAAAAAAAAACTGGTAAGATGGCTGTCTGAAATCAAAACAACTACTATCAAGAGCGCGCGCTGCCCCAGAACATCTTCTTCCATTCTATAGCGGGGAGCCATGACTCGCAGTCGCCGTACCGAATGGGCAATATTGATAATAATAATATTGGTAATATTATCATTATTATTATATTAGCGTTATCTCCTTTGAACTGCCTATCAACAATGTCATTTTCCATTAACAAATGAAACGTTTTTGCATCTATTTACACTAACTCGTGCAAAGAACAACACTTCGAGGCTCGCACGTTGATTGAGAGTAAAGTGAGCATGGAATGCCTCTTGCTCACTACCTTCATTATCTGCCGGGCCGCGTCGAACAGCTCTCGCAGATCCTCGGGATCATCCAGGTCGTTGGGATCAACCTGTAAAAGGAGAAACGTGCGCCAACGTCACATAACCGCACTTTTGCATGAACCGCCTGGCCGAAATGCTGATATTCCTTAAGTCTCAAGACTTGTGGGTCATGGGTTCGAATCCCCGCTGCCGCGGCTGCATTTTTGAAGGAAGCGTAAGTTATGTAGGTCCGTGTGCTAATATTTGGGTGCACGGTAACGAACACCATGCAGGTGGTCAAAATTTTCGGAGCCTTCCACTACGGCGTCTCTCATAATCTTATAGTGGTTATGGCCCTTTAAACCCTGATATCAATAAATTAAATAGGAATCTAGTTCTATAAACGCTATAGATTTATTTGAGAATGTTGGCATAAACAGGGCACTCCTCCGTTTTCTCAGGCGCATAGCTTGATCTAGTATAAATACTATGGACGTGTCAATTAAAAATCTTTTGGACCCTTTCCTTAAATTTTTCACTTTCGCTTTCAAAAGCCTCGGCAACAGCCGTTTCCACCACCTGCCGCCGAAGCAAGGCTTCTGCATGTCATCTGTTCGACTTGTGAAATAATGGTTCGGGAGGGTGGAGACATGTCTATAGTGAATGTTATTGAACACGTATCGTTTGTGATGGCGACTTGAGTACTATCAGCGTCAAATGAAACCCGAACAGCGGCAAGCCTTTGCGATAGTGTAGTGCGTGCCGTCCACTTAAACATACACTCATATATGCACAAAGCTGCCCAACAGGATGCGCATGCCTGTCAATGGTGATAATTCGGTGGCACGTACTACACTATTGCGAAGGCTTGCCACTGTTCGGGTTTCGTTTGACGCTGGTAGTACGTCAGATGTAAACAGCTAAAATGACGAACAAGAGAAGAAAGTGACAAGATGTGAGCATACTGGTAGCCTAAAGTTTATGAAAGACAATAGTACACAATATCGAATAGCTGAGGCACGAAGTGCTAAACAGATAATCAATTTAAGCTAAAGCCACACAGGAAAAAAAGGTAGATCCCACGTATAGTGGGAATCGATGATTTGCGAAGCGCAATTGAAGAAGGTTGAATTGTCACATTAAACTCAGCACAACGTTACAAAGAGGACGTAATTAATACCGTAAATGACTTTCATGTCATGATCATCATGTGTGCGCCTGAAATTTTGTTTGTCGTCCATTCCCGTGATGAAAAACCAATTTGGTATGTCTGCAGCAAGCGAAACAGCCGCCAGCACACTTTAGAATTCACCTCAATAATCTCTCGTGTCGTCCCACCGCGGTGGTCTAGTGGATAAAGTACTAGGCTGCTGAATCGCAGGTCGGGGGATCAAACCCCAGCTGCGGCGGCAGCATTTTCGGTAGAGGCGAAAATGCTGCGGCCCTGGATGCTCATATTTCGGTGGGTGCACGTTAAAGAACCCCAGCTGGTCAAAATTTCTGGAGCCCTTCACTACGGCGTCTCAAATAATCATATGCTGGTTTTGGCACGTTGAACCCTACATATCAATCAATCTCTCGTGTCCATTGGTTACGGCCCATAATCACACAACGGTGAAACAACAGAGTGCATGCACTAGTTAGTCCAAAAAACCCTGTTTTCTTACATTGCAGTAGTGCTCGCACAAGCGCCCATTGACACATTTAGGACTGTCTTGTGTAAACCACGTCGTAAGACGGAGAGAACATCTTGACGGCAGCTAGGGAACATTCAACAAACTTAGCCACACGATCCTTTCCACAGGCGGATTGCGACTCCCTATTGTAGGATTCGCAAACTTACATGGTCGACTTATTCTCTGGAGCTGAGAACACTATGCGGACGTTTTTGCTCAGGGCTACCTTTTTTTCAAATGGCTGAAGTATTCAATGTCATACCGTATGTTCTGAAAATTGCGCACCACAAGCGCCAAGCTTCAGTATCTTACTGAAGCCAGGGGAACGGAACAGATAAGGGCGCATTTCACCTCGCACAAACGCCGGCGCAGGAGGCACAAAATACGACACAATCAATTACTTCACAGGTAACATACATTTTTCAATGTTACAGCGATCGATGAATTGATCGCACATTTATCTCCTAAACATTTTTCGACCTATATATCATGTCACGTGTGCCCTTATCTATTCCATTGTCTTCGCTTTATTAAATTGTTGAAAGTTAGCGCCTGTGTGTGTTATTGATTTTTTCTTGGGTTGGCAAGGGGGGTCCTTCTTTGAGTGTGCATTCTGAATTTATTGGTCGAGCCAGTGTAGTTGGAATGTCTAAGCACACAGTATGCATCAAACTACTCAATTTGCCCAAAGCTGTTGTTCTACTTCGTAACAAGCTGCTCAAAAAGAATATACGGCCATTGAATATACTTCGCTCGCAAATGATTTTCACAATGCGTGGGATATGCCGCATCTTTCAGTTTATGATTTTCAGTTTAGGCATTCGCTGCACTGACATCAATCGTACGCGGACGAGTATATCTGTGTGTGTGCACGTGCGCAGTTGATGACACAAAGAAATGTGAATCCCTAACTTATCCGTAATGCGTGAAGCTAGCCAAAAACGTGCTATCCGCAGTCATGAACTTAGCAATGACACCAATATGTTGGTGCTAGGGCAGATTACAGCGCTCGAATCTCCTTCGGAGAAGTCTTCGATCTGACAGGAAGACTGTCGCAAGTTTTTTGTTATCGTCCCAAAACACCACACGATTCTCAGCGCAAACCGCGCCTGCAGTTTTCGAGAGGGTTCCGGACTGTAGTAGATCATTTCGATAAGATCACGCCAACTGTGCGAATGGTACAGATTGTTCTGGAACGTACGCCACCGCCAGCGGTAGCGCTAGAACATTCGACGGCGGGAGTATAAATGCCGACGCGCTTCATCGCTTGTCAGTTGTTGATCAAAGGCCGACGCTCCGTTCGCCGCTATCACTCTGAGACTGCTATCTGTGCGAGACTGCTGCTGTAATTGTACTTTCTGTTTACCGGGCACAGGTTCGCCTAAATAAACAGTTAAATCCCAACACGAAGTCTCCTGTCTTCGGCCACGTCACGACCCCGTGACGTGGCCGAAGGTGCTGGGTACACGGCTTAACGGGGGCGTCCGGTACATGAACGAAGCAGCGACCACTATCGAAAAGACTCTGGACATGCGCACCAGACAGTATAATCGTCGCCTGACTGCATGCTGCGCTGCTGCTCAAGCCAGTAACTCCGGAGACCTGCGTGAAACGATCCGAGCGATCGTGCGAGAAGAGCTGCGCAAGCTGTTGCCTTCAGCGCAGCCTCAAGTGGATTCAATCGCCGACATTGTGCGAGAAGTAGTTCGGCAATCGCTTCAAATTCCCCACGCACCGCTGCCCGAGCCGGAAGCTATGAGCTACGCCGCTGCACTTCGCCACAACGCTCCTCCCCGTCCACGCCAGAACGCCGCCCCATCGCACTTCCGTCGACAGACGCCACCGCCGCCACCACCCCCACCGACGTCATACCGTTCGCCAGCGGCCCAGCGCAGTGCACCGAGGAAGACTGACGTCTGGCGCACCCCTGACCACCGCCCGCTCTGCTACCACTGCGGCGAGGCCGGACACACATACCGCCGTTGCCAGTACCGACAAATGGGACTGCGTGGCTTCGCCGTCAATGCACCGCGCCCACAGCCAGGAGAACGACCACGTGACATCGCCGACTACCCGACAGGAACTCGGTGGACACCACGAAGCCCTTCGCGTTCGCCGTCGCCCAGCCACCGCACGTCACCACACCACCGACAGTACTCTGGCCCAACGCGGGGCCGGTCTCCTAGCCCGTATCCGGGAAACTAAGGGCAGCAACTGGTGGAGGTGCGGTTGCTGTGCGAATAACTACCGAGGATCCTCCGACGACGCCGCGACGGAGCTTTCCGTACACAACGCCAACCAGGCAAAGCCCTGACGGCGAAAGCTCAATTACCGAAGGTGGCCTGACGACGCAACATGGAAGCAGCGGAACAAGCCGACGCAGCCGTGACCCGACGCCACGCCCTAACTGTAATGCGAGACGGCGAACTAGCGACCTCGACGTTCTTATCGACGGCCTAAGTGTGACCGCTCTCATCGATACTGGAGCCGACTATTCTGTCATCAGTGGGTCGTTCGCCGCGAAGTTAAAGAAAGTTAGGACAGCTTGCAAAGGCCCTGAAATCCGCACAGCCGGAGGTCATCTCGTAACGCCTGCAGGAATCTGCACAGCGAGAGTCACCATTAACGGCCGTATTTATCCTACAGACTTCGTAGTCCTACAGCGTTGCTCGAGAGATGTCATCCTTGGCATGGACTTATTATGCCTGCATGGTGCTGTAATCAACCTAAAAACAAAGCCCATAACGTTATCCACAGAAGAAGCACTACCGCCGCGCACGCCGTCAGGACACCATGCCTTGAATGTGCTGGAAGAACAAGTCACCATTCCGCCTCGCTCAAGCGTCATTATTTCAGTCGGCGCTCCTAAATCACGTGACTTCGAAGGCGTCGTTGAAGGCAGTCAGCATCTGTTGGTCACCCGAAATATTTCCGTCGCAAGAGGAATTGCAGAGCTGCGGGGAGGCAGAGCAACGGTTATGCTCACGAATTTCAGCAATGAGTACAAACATGTGAACAAAGGAACAACGGTCGCATACATCGAAGAAATTGTCGAAGCCACCAGTGCTTTCGCCCTCACCGATTCTGCGGAACCTGCTCAGAGGAACCAAGCCCCTCCCATAGCTTTCGACGTCAATCCCAGACTTCCGAACGATAAGCAAGAACAGCTCAAGGCCCTGCTCCTGCAATACGAAGATTGCTTTTCGTCGTCATCGAAAATTCGGCAGACCCCAATCACGAAACATCGCATCATAACCGAAGAAAATGCCGGACCACTCCGTCAGAGTCCGTACAGGGTTTCGACGCGAGAACGTGAGGCAATGAAGAGACAAGTTGATAAAATGCTGCGGGATGACATTATCCAGCCGTTCAAGAGCCC